TGCTGTGCTCTATATACCATAGCTGAGTTTTGGCTAACATCATTTAGCAGGAAGATAGCCATCATTGGCAGCGGAGCTGCTGGCATGGCTGCCCTCTGGGCCCTTCACCAGCACTCCCCTCACCAGGTTTACCTCTACGAAGCGGCTCCTCGTCTTGGAGGCCACATCAATACTGTAGAGTTCAAGAAGGGAGAAGATGGCGTCAATGTCGACACTGGATTTATTGTGCTCAACAATTCCACCTATCGTGAGTTTCCTCTCTTCTACTCCAGACCTAGTCTAACGGAACAGCCAACTTCTTAAACTTCCTCAAAACTATTGATGTCCCAACCACGCCCTCGGAGATGTCGTTTAGTGTTTCGCGATTCTCCAACTCGGGGTCATTTGAATGGGCAGGCTCTTCCTTGAGAAACCTTTTCGCTCAAAGAAGAAACCTGTTCTCTCTGTCAATGTGGCGGATGGTGTTCGACATGGTGAGGTTCAACCACTTCGCTCCTGACCTTCTCCGTCTCCCAGATGTGGACAATACCATGTCGATAGGCGAGTACCTCGAGAAGGAGGGATACTCGGCATTCTTCCGCGACAACTACCTAATCCCGTTGACGGCATCGACGTGGAGCACGAGTCCGGACAAGTGCAACTTGCAATTCCCCGCCGTGACCCTCATCCGGTTTTTGTATGTTTTTATCCTATATCACGTTTATGCAGAGCTAATGCTATCAGATACAATCACAATCTGCTTAATACGCTCGGGAACGGTCTCGAGTGGCTTGGCGTGACGAATGGCGCAAAGAGCTATATTGATACCATCATGGCCGACTTTCCCTCGGACCATGTCTTTCTCAATCAGCCCGTTGTCTCTGTCATGAATGATCCACACTCGGGCAAGGTCAATATCACCACCGCCAACGGCACAACGGCCACCTACGACCATGTCATCCTTGCTACGCCTGCACCCCAAGCATTCTCCCTAGTATCCAAAACAGCAACTCCGCTAGAGAAATCCATCCTTTCAGCATTCGAAACAACCACCAACACTGCAGTTCTCCACTCCGACGAGGCCCTCCTTCCACAGAACCGCCGGGTCTGGTCCACTTGGAATTATCTGAGCAACGGCGCGGCAGACCAGGTATGTGTTACATATAGCATGAACCGGGCACAAGGGGTCTCGCATGCGAGATACGGGTCGGTGTTGGTGACGATGAATCCGCTTTTCATGCCGGATGAGCGCACCATCCAGGGAGTGTTTCAGTACGAACATCCTCTGTTTACTCCGGCGGCGGTGCGGGCGCAGACCATGCTACCCACGATTCAGGGCACACGAGGTATCAGTTACGTGGGAGCGTGGACGATGTATGGGTTTCATGAGGATGCGTTTACGAGTGCGTTTGGGGTGGCCGGGGAGCTTGGGGCCAAAATTCCGTTTCAGGTTGCTGATAGTCGACTAAAGGGGTGTGCAGTGAGGGAGGTTAGTTGGTTGGAATATGTATTTAGAATGGTGTTGCAGGGTGTGCAAGGTTTGATAGTGTGGTTGGTGGGAGGGGAAGTGAAAGGGAAGCAGAAGGCGAGGTAGATCTATTGCACACTCCGATGAACATTCAGATCTTTGAATAGACAAGGTTTTTTTCAGTGCTATTCTGGATGTTGCAATACCTGTCACATTGAATATCCTCCGAGGTGATTATTCACGCAATCTCGGATCATATGATGTACCCCTTGCATAACCTGTCTGACCGAATCTGAGTATGATTTACGATGCCAAGATTATTTTAGACATACTATCTCGTGTCCACATTAGGAATACTGGACGTGGGAGTATATCAGAACGATGGGCGGATGAACCCTAAGTGAAGCAAGCACCGCATGGATCTCCCGGACTTTCTCCGATGGCTTCCCCACCCGCCAATCCATCATCAACTAAACAACCCCTCACGCTCTTTACCATCTCTCATTTCACTTCTACCTGTAATCCCTACTCTTCACAAACAACACGACTCCCTCTCAACCATACCCCCACTGCCAAACAACCATGGCCGAATCCCTCCCCAAAACCTACGACGACCTCCCCGACAAGCGGCGCTACTGGCCCGCAGCCCCCAACTCCGCCGACGAGGGGCTGGGGATGCTCCGTCTCCTCACCCCAGAAGTGGTCGCCAACGCAGCACGCACCCAGATCCAGACTGGCGAGCGCGTATGCCTCAACTGGGACCTGGAGAAGCTGAACCCACCAGGTACCCCTCCTTCTAACCCATCATCTATCGCCAACTAACCAAAACACAGGCTTCGGCCGCAAACCCTTCGCCCACCAGATTAAATGGGTCAACGAAGGCCACGCCTTCGACGACGAATACCACTTCAATCCCCAGCAATCCTCCCAATGGGACGGTCTCCGACACCACAACGCCCCGGCCCCTACACCCGACGACCCAGAGCGCCGCGTCTTCTACGGCGGCACCACCTCCACCGAGATCCTCGACCCCTCGTCCGCACGGATCGGCATAGCCCACTGGGCCAAGAAGGGCATCGCCGGCCGCGGCGTCCTAATCGACTACGCCTCCTACATCCAGCGAACCAAGGGCATCACAGTAAACGCCCTAACCCGCCACACCGTCTCCCTCGACGACGTCCTCACCATCGCGAAGGAATGCAACATTACCTTCCAGCCAGGCGACATTCTCTTCCTGCGCGTTGGTCTACCGACAACGTGGGATAACATGTCCGATGAAGAGAAGGTCGAGTATAGTCGACAGCAAACACCCCAGCATGCAGGATTAGAGCAGAGTGAGCGTGTGGTGCGGTTCCTCTGGGACCAGCATTTCGCGGCTGTGGCGGGCGATGCGGTCAGCTTTGAGGTGTATCCGCCGGTAGAGAAGGAGTGGGATTTACATCATTTCCTCCTTGCTGGGTGGGGAGTGCCGATTGGGGAGATGTTTGATCTGGAGGGGTTGAAGGAGGTTTGTGAGAGGTTGGGCAGGTGGACGTTTTTTGTTAGTTCGAGTCCGTTGAATTGTAAGACGGGGGTGTCGAGTCCGCCGAATTGTATGGCGATTTTCTAGGTAGATCTTTGGAAGTTAGGTCGGTGGTTTTTGGGGCTGTGTGTTGAGTGGAGATGGGGTATTTGTTTGGTCTGTATTCGGTGTATGCTGAGCATAGATTTTAATTGTAGAATGGGACAGAGTATATATTGCCGTGGTTCATGGGCGACAGAAGCAGCACCCGCTCAGACGTTGACCACACAAACTGCATTGCTTTCTTCGGTCTGATTATGTCAATATCTTCCCATTAGTGAACTACTCAATACAAAGACAGCGTTCAACACCACAGCCTAGTTAAAACTCCTACACGCCCATAACCCTATAAACCAACGCCGCCACCACCACCGGCCCCAACACCCACAACCCAACCCTGTACCCCAACCTCACCATCCCCCTCCACATCACAATCTTGACCTTCTCATCCAACCACTTCTTCTCATTCAAATGCGGAAACGGCACCTCAGGTACCGGCTTGCCCAAGAACTCGCACAACGGCTCCCACCCCTCACTCAACCTGAACTCCAACAACCTCTCAGGCGGTGTCAACCGTCTCACCAACGCATAATGCTCCTTATACTTCTCCCGACTGACACGCTTCGCATCCTCGGGTCCCTTAATCCCCAACCACCCCTCAAACGTCGACTTATGCACCTTCCCCAGCGGGTGCGTGAACCACCGATCAATGGTATATATGATGGTCACGATAGGATCATACGTGTTGGCAATCACGCCGTTCATCCAGCTCTGGTACCACGAGTCGATGTCCCTCTCCACCAGGACTACTTTGGCCTCCGGGTACGCGTTGAGCAACTCCTCCGAGAAGGCGATGGCCGGGGTATCGGATGATATGGCTGCGTAGTCGTGGAGCAGTTGATCGAACTCAGCTCGGCCGTAGAGGGGACCTGGTGCGTTGAAGAACTTTCGGTCGATGGCTTCTTGCCACATGGGGATGGTGCCGAATTTGTCGGACATTAGGTGGATGGAGTGCCAGCAGGGGAGGGAGAGGGTTTCGAGGGCGGAGCACATTGCTATTATTCCTTCTCTTAGTATAGGTTTGCTTTTGGTAATTGTAGGGTGGAATGCTGATTTTTGAGGTGTATGGTACAAATAAGTACTTACAGGCTGTACCGGTGCGGTTGAATCCTAAGCAGAGGACTTGGAGTGGAACGGTGCGCTTCTTGCCTCGTGGGGATTCGCTGTTCACGGGGCGGAAGAGTTCGGGGTGGCGGTCTTGGGGGGTGGACATGGTGTAAACTGATGTATCTTGTATGATTTGCTGTACTTCGTTGATTGGTATGTGTAGGAGAAAGGTATTCGATGTTTGAACTACGATGGCTATGGTGCTGTTGTAGAGACATCTTATAGTCCTTTCATTCACTTGTATCATACTAGCGCTTATTTGTCGGCATTTGGAAGAGTGCATTGATTGGTCTGCTCGTTCATGCATTTAGTCTCATTCACTAGTACTACTAGCCCGTTAGCGCTTAGTTGAGCTGAGCTGGGGCGAGTTGTATTGTGTTATGGACAGTGATAGAGGCAGATATTTAGCTGCAAACATGAGACTATGTTACTTTCAATTCGGTGATAGATAACTAGATTCTGAGAAAGAAGTGAGATATCACCCATAACACACTTCAGCAGGAATATGATGTTCAAAGTGGATATCCACGAGGCAGCTAATCAACACTATACCGATTCGGGTAATTCAGATGTAGGCTCTCACTGCGACAAATGTAGATAACCAAAGGCAATATGACATTTAAAAGACATGTATTACCAGAAATCACTCAAGATATAATGTTCAACAACCTCTACACTTCAGTAATAGACTTTCCAAAGGGGAAACAAGGGCTAATCACCTGCGATAAGATAAACTCCGACGGAGGTACCAGACCGAGGTAGTTTTTCCGAGATCGCCCCAAGATTGAGTCTCCGGCTTACTTTCTTACAAACAAACAACTTTCTCCTTGATTCAGTCTCCTTTTAAAACTCATGCAGGATCCCACTCGTTCATTCTCTTCCTGTTCTCATCTTCTTCTCCATAGTCAAGTCCGGGGAATCCCCGTTCCCACTGTACATTCATCCACATCTACATAATCGCATAATCACATAATAATAAACATCATCATGGCCGACCTCTCCACCCTCCGCGAAGTCATCCTCCCCACACTTTTCTCCTGGAAATCCCTCGCCATTGTCCTCGCCTTACTCAATCTCAAGAACATTCCTTTCTCGTGGCACGTACGTATCCCATACCCCCTTCCCACCCATATCCACCAAATACTAATGAAAGATAATGAATACTAATAGATCCGCCTCCTAACCCACCTCCTCCTCAACCTCCGCCGCTCCCCGACCTCCCCACCCTTCCCAACCTGTCCCCCATCTCCAACCCTCACCAGCAAGAACCAAAAGAACATCCAAACCCACCCAATCTTCCATCCGCACACACTCACCACGCGCACCTCCCTCTGGGAAACCGACTACAACTTCCACAAATCCAACAGCACGTATTTCTCCGATCTGGACATCTCCCGCACAGCCATCGTGACAAGGGTATACACACCGGGTTTGGCGCTCGTGAGCTTGGAATTCGACCACGAGTTGAAGAACGGGAAGGATGAGAATGCCAAGGTCAATGTGGGGAAGAAGGTGTATGTCGCGCTGGGATCGACCTTTACTAGCTTTAAGAGGGAGATTGGGCCGTTGCAGAGGTATCGCGTGTTGAGTCGCGTGGTGGGATGGGATCGGAAGTGGGTTTATGTGTTGTCTGCTTTTGTGGGGATGGGTTCTGGGAATGGGAAGAATGGAGGGAAGGCGAATGGGAAGGTGTTTGCTACGGCTGTGAGTAAGTATGTGGTGAAGAAGGGGTGGGTTACTGTGCCGCCGGAGAGGGTGTTGAGGGCGAGTGGGATGTTGCCGGAGAGGAGTGTTGGTGATGGGGAGGGTGAGGATGGAGTGGTGGTTGAGGAGGAGGAAGAGGGGACGGTGGAGGGGATTGTAGAGGGGGTGGGGGAGGTGTTGAGTAAGGATGACAATAATGCTACAGGACAAGGGGTATCGGATTGGACGTGGGAAATGATCGAAGAGGAGAGGGTTAGAGGGATGAAGATTGTCGAGGGATATGTGGGGTTGGATGAGAAGTTGTTGGCCGAGTGGGAATAGATTATACCTCCTATCCACATCTGCGTTTACACTGCCTTCATATCTCGGGTTATGTATATATAGATACCACCTAAGACGGATAGATGATATAAGTATAGAGAAGATTCATCGTTAATGATCAGTCACGTCATGCATCTCATAAAGCCCTTCTTCATCGTCCCAACCCTCCCTCAAAGCACTGTTCACTCAATCAACCGCAGAGCTGATTCTGGAGATCGATACCAGCTACACAAACTATCCATCAGCCATTTCCACCTACCTCAATACTCCAGTTTCAAGAGGGGAACACATACTCTGCACCTCATCCCCACACCCACTATTATTCAAACAATCCACCACACCCTGCTGGAAACCGGTATTGGTGCAATAGCAGTTAAGATCACCGTCGCCACAGATTGTGCTCGACTCCACACAGTTGCCCTAAGATATCATTAGCAACTAACTCCACACCAAATTTCATATCATTCATTTCCATGACAAGGTCCAGGAACAACAACAACAACATACCAGACAATCCGGGATACTCTGCGCCGCGGCGAACGAGAGAATAGTCGCGATAGGGAAGAGGATGCAGAACTTCATCATGACAGGAATAAGTAAGTAGTAAGTAACTATCTTCGAGGGATAGAATAATAAGGAGGTGGAAGTATCGTGCTGCCACGAGGAAGTGAGGTGATTTATACTTACCCTCAACCCTCAATCCTTCAGGACTCATGATATAATGAATACTTCTACGTTGCTAGGGATGGTCTCCTTGCGTGTGTGTGTCTGTGGGGTAGATCGCATGAATGATATTCAGTGCAAGGGAGTCGAGGGTATAGAAGATCAGTTGGTCGTGTATATTATGTGTGTCTTGATGATCTTTATATCGGTTAGTTACTGACTCTGGGGTGATGTATGTTTAGCTCGGATTGTACATCAAGGACTATGTTTGTACGTCCATAGATGTCTTGGAAGGGCGAATGTGAAGGTACCATACAAAGGTCGGTTTGATACATGGTATGTTATGTAGCAAGTGACATCATGGCATGTTTCAAACCTCTCCATGTAGAAGAACATCCTAAAGGAACGATGGGTACGTCGTGACTTCTTCATTCCATGAGTGACTATCGTCTCCGCAAGGGGCTGCCATCCCGGGTGTTCAGACGCCACCTTCACGAGGCAGCCACTGCGGTCAATGTGAGACATGTGTCAGTCCTTGCAGGTTGGGTCAACTCCTTCAGTGTCTCAGTAGGATAGAATCTGTTGGTGTGAGTGTTAGACGCGTAAGCAGTGGAAAAAAGATGACTATGATGAAATGTAGTTGTAAGTAATGAGGAAATCTATTATGACTGTATCTCTAATCTAAATATATCAACAAGAAATGCACCTATATAAGCACCCCAAAAGTCACCGCAATATAGAACAAAGAAAAAAATTAAAAAGCCACCTGCAGCCGCTAAATCACTGCTTCCGCCACTTCTTCACCCGGAACAAATAATAAAACGCCGCCGCCGCCGCAATCTGCACAACAACATACACCCAAAAGATCCCAAAGTTCCTCCACTTATCACTCGCCACAATGCCCGTCATACTGATATATGCATCCGCCGTGCTCACAGAGCAGTACTCACAACCCGTCGTAGCAATCGGGTTCAGCAAATTCCCCCCAGCAAGCTCCGCATACTGTCCAAGATACTCGCCGCAGGATTGACCCGTTGGGGGGTCAAGAACCGACAGCTCCGACGACGAGCACACCACTTCCCTTCCTGACACTTGTGTAGACACCATGGCCGACGCCCAGTACGTGAATGGGGATGCGCGGTACATGAAGATCCAAAAGCCCGGGAGAGCGGAAGGCGACTGCATGATACCGCAAAAAGTCAAGGACATGGCGAAGAGGAGAGTGACGACGGCACTGGCTGTGACGGTATCGGGCATTGCGGCGATTATCATGTGCGCAAAGGTACTGGTATAGATGAATAATTCAATGCAGAGGATGAGCACGGTGGCTTGTCGGGCGGAGCTTTGAATGCCTACTACGGGGAAATAGTAGCAGGCGAAGACGATGATGCCGAGAACGATTTGGTACGGTATTTCGACGATGATGTTGGCCATTAGGAATGCTTTCCAGCTGTAGGCTTTGCTGGGACGTTCGCGGACTTCGTAGAGGTCCCGTTGAGTGATGAAAAGAGGCATGATCTGCTGTACAAGGGAGGGGAAGATAGAGCACAGCATGAAGATCGAATAGATAACCGTCTGTAATCCTTGGAGAGAGGATTTGGCGTGGTAAAAAGAGAACCCGATGAAAAGGCCGCCAAACACGCCCAGGCCCCATTTCGCCAGCACGTACGAGGGCATGCGCCAGTATTGCTGGAATACTCGGTAGGTGACTTGGTACAACTGGAACCAGAACGGCATGGCAAACTCAGTATGGCTCCATTCAGAGTCCTCTTCGGCAGGTGCGTTCTGCTTCTCGGCATGGATGCGATCGATCTCCACTTGGACATCTTGACTCTCGCTGCTTTGTTTCCATACATCGAACCAGTTCTCTCCTTTAGCATTGGAGCCGTTGTTGACCATCTCGAGCATGTACTCGGCAGGGTTCTCGTCCTCTCCGCAAGGGCGTGGAGCGTCATGGGTCTCAAAGTAATCGAGAAGTGTGCGCGAGTTCTCTCCCACTGGTCCAAAGTAGACAGTCTTACCGCCGCGAGCAAGGAATAACAGCCGATCGAATTGTTGGAACAAAACGGCGCTAGGCTGGTGGATGGTACAGAGAACCGCCTGACCATGGTCGGCTAAGCGGCGCAAAAAGGCACAGATAGCCCAAGAACTCTGCGAATCTAGACCACTTGTAGGCTCGTCCAAGAAGAGGAGAAGTTTTGGTCGCGCAGCCAACTCGACACCGATGGTTAGCAGCTTGCGTTGCTCAACGTTCAAGCCTTCCCCTGGAACTCCGACTACTGCTTCAGCAAAGTCCTCCATCTTCAGCATAGAGATCACTTCTTCGACATAGTCGTACTTTTCCTTGAGGGAGACATTCGGCGGCTGGCGAAGCAGAGCACTGAACTGCAGTGATTCCCGAACAGTGGCTGTCTGAAGATGGAGATCTTGTTGCTGAACATACCCGGTCTTTCGCTGGAAGCTAGCATCCAGCCCTTTGCCGTTGACGAACATGTCACCGGTGATCACTCCCATGGTGGTACGGTGAGCCAGAACATCAAGAAGGGTTGTCTTTCCTGCTCCACTGACGCCCATGAGCGCAGTGAGGGTTCCAGGCTTCACCCAGCCTGATACGTGGTCCAAAAGCCGTCTAGTCTCTCCCTTAATATCGACATCATAACACACATCGCGCCAGGTGAAAATGTCCTGTTGCGGAGCGAGTCCTCCAAGGTTCTCCGATTTTTCCGTACCAGTCGGCTTGATGGTATTCAACTCAACTCCATTCTCAACATCAGCAGACTTTGGGCCCGTAGCACGCGACAAGGCGCGTTTCTGGCTGCGGTGAAAGACCAAGACCTCGGCTGTGCTGGTGGTGGACGAGTTCAGCTCCGTGGCCAGGAAGTAGATCGCCATGAACGCGATCAAGAAAGCAATCAGTATCCCAAAGTTGCGCCACACGTGGCTGTAGTAGTACCTGAAATTGACGGCGATGTAACGATCTCCACTGACGAGCTTCTCGCCGGCAGTTGATCCGGACGTGGAACAAACGAAGGAAGAGCCATTCATGTCAGCGTATGACGGAATAAATGAAGAGCAGGGGAATTCGCGACCGTGGAACTCGTTGGCGACAAGTATTTCAAATGCGTAGTAGATCGGATCTAGCAAGTCAGCAAGAGTCGGAGACAAAAGGAACATGAGACATACTGATGTAGTGAATCCATTCGAACCAGGGGTGCATTGAAGGAACGGGCAGCACAAATCCAGTATAGACGACCAAAGCCAGGATCAAAACTCCTGCCAGCGACATGGCCTGGGAGATGGTTTTCGTGACCGCCGCCATAGTTCGGAAGACCGCACTCATGACAAACATAACAATGAAGGAGATCAGGAAGTAAATAAAGAACTGGGCCGGTTCGCGTCGAAGATTGACCATAAAGTAGAGGATAACGTTGAACGCGACTGCGAGAGCGAACTTTACCGGTATGTCGCTCACCACACCCGCAATAGCCTCTGTTGCTGGATGGTAGAAAGCATAGGAAGCTTGCTTTTCCACAATCGGTCGCTGGGCGTAGAGCGTGTTAATCTCAGACATAGCTGCCAGTGCGTTCAAAAGGACGGCGAAGAAGAGCGCCGCCCCTTTAGAAGTGAAAGAAGCAGTGTCATTAGGAGCGTTGTAGTAAACCGAGCCGATGATCAGGGCCATGATGATCTGTCCACAGACCGTTGATACAGTGGTCTGGATATCCATCCATAGCCGTTGATAGGCGCGTTTCGTGTTCAACTTAATCTGCATGGGTACGCTCAGCAGAAATGGTGACTTGGGTCGCGTGTGTTTAGCCTGCACAGCCCGCTTGCGCTCGTGAAACTCTGTATCGGTAACCTTGTTGCCATGCAAAGGATGCTCTTTTTCATACGAAGCAACCTCGGAAAGCGTCTTCTGATACTCGGGTGACTGACGCCAATAGGCTTCAAAGTCGTCAGGGGTGCGAGGAACACGGCTCTCCATGCCTGCACGTGGCCGGCGTTCCTGAGGGTTGGTAACAGAGGTCAAAAAATCGCCTGTGGTTTGTCTCGGGGGACACTCCCAGCCCTGTCGCTCAAAGAAGGCTTTCGCCTCCGAAGTAGGTCCAAAATAAATTTGGCGGCCCTCGTAGAGTACCGACACCTTATCGAAGATGTCATAGATGCTCTGGCTCGCTTGGTAGATGGCAACTGCATGAGCTGAGCCTGCCAGATCAGCCATCAATCGCAGAGCCTCGACGAATTTCAGCGCCGTGGCCGAGTCGAGACCACGGGTCGAATTATCCCATGCCGCCAAAGGTGCTGCGGCCAAAGTCATTTCGGCAATGCTAACACGCTTGCGCTCTCCTCCTGAGACACCCCTGATAAACTCATTTCCAACCTTGGTGTTGTACGTGTGGCTCAGCCCGAAGACAGCCATGACTACCTTAGTGATATGCTTCGCGTGTTCGTCTCGAGATAACCCTTTGATACGACGCTGTGGGGTGCGCATAGCGGCGGCGAATTCGAGGGTCTGGCCAACGGTGAGGTGAGGGAAGTGCTTGTCCACCTATAACCTAATTAGTGCGTGTAATGCTAGCTCACGACAGCATAGACATACCTCTTGGTTGTAGACCACTTCACCTTTGAACTCCTTGATCATCTGATGTTGAGGGATGCCTGTCTCATGTCAGTAGGTTCACATGTAGATAATGAGAGTGTCTTTACCATTGTAATGTATCACGCTGTCATCATTGACAGTCAAGCCATCAAGTTCACCACAAAGTGACTTGAGAAAAGTACTGCAGCCCGCACCCGGACGACCAAGAACAAGAAGAAGCTCTCCACTCTTCAAAACACCGTTGAACTCATTCAAAATCCGCTTGGGCGGAGAGTGACGATTCCGAAGTGCCTCGCCAATGCGAAAAGGGGCACTGAAG